TTCTTTGACTTTTTAATTATGGCCATTCTTGCAGGAGTAAGGTTTTAATTTACATTTCCCTGATGATTACTGATTCTTTCTTTCTTTTTTTTTTTCTTAGAATAGTCATTGATTAAAGCTAAAAAGTAGGCAGTTGTACAGAATGGGGGGAAAGGCATTGCATTAAGTAATATCAAAAATTACCTCTAATTTGGATTTAATATGTCCTTAATTACACTAGTTCTTAATTCTTACAATATTTTTTTTCTAATAGACATCTTTTTGATTGAAACTGAAAAGTAAACTATTGTACAGACTAGGAAAAAAAAAAGCATTGATTTAAGTAATATTATGAACATTATCCCAAATTTTGATTTTTGTGACCCAATATTTCATTTCTTCCTCAGAACTAATGTCTTCTTTACAAGAAGTTTTCAACTGAGGCAAGGGTGCCAATCAAAACAATTCCCTTATTATATATTACTCATTTTATGTAGAAAAATGATTGAACATATTTAACAATTTTTTGGGAGGGGACAATGTTATTTTATCAGGTTGGTTACAACAGTATTTGTTAATGTCACAAAGCTACTAAAAAAGTTATTCATCTAATAGCTCAAGTTTGGATGTCTCATATAAGTGTAGAACCTTTCATTTTAGAAAATTATCTAGTATGTCTGCGATTAGTAAGGAAAATAGGAAAAAAACTCTACTTTGGAAGAATAGTTCATTGGTGTGTTCACATGACATATAGACAGCATTAATGCAGAAGATTTAAAAAAATATATCCTGGTGGATTAATCTATAGACATTTATAACTATACTTGATCAGTAACACTGTTGAGAATCCCTAAAAATAAATGCCAGGAAGAAGATAGTATCTTCTTAAAGAAATTTCAAAATAGACTGTTAGAGATGGAATAATCAATGTGAGCAATAAATACTTTGAAATAAAAATACTTATATATTTATATAGCTGTATATTAAATCATTTCTATAATTTTTTGTGTATATATATATTTTTACACATGTATGAATAATTTGTATACTAATGCCATGATTAACAGCATAAAGCCACCTTTAGCTTTATGTAAAGAAATGAGAACTCTGAGGTTCCATGTTGATGGGTGTTTGTTTTTTATTTATTTATTTATTTGTTTGTTTATTGCATTTTAGGTTTGGGGGTACATGTGAAGAACATGCAAGATTGTTACATAGGGACACACATGGCAGTGTGGTTTGCTGCCTTCCTTCCCCTCACCTGTATCTGTCATTTCTCCCCATGCTATCTCTTCCCACCTCCCCACCTCCCCGTCCCTCCCCTATGTCCCCCCAACGGAACCCAGCATGTAGGTCTCCCCTCCCTGTGTCCATGTGTTCTCACTGTTCAACACCCGCCTATGAGTGAGAACATGCGGTGTTTGATTTTCTGCTCTTGTGTCAGTTTGCTGAGAATGATGGTTTCCAGGTTCATCCATGTCCCTACAAAGGACGTGAACTCATCATTTTTGATGGCTGTGTAATATTCCATGGTGTATATGTACCACATTTTCCCTATCCAGTCTATCATCGATGGGCATTTGGGTTGGTTCCAGATCTTTGCTATTGTAAACAGTGCTGCAATGAACATTCGTGTGCATGTGTCCTTATAGTAGAATGATTTATAATCCTTTGGATATATGCCCAGTAATGGGATTGCTGGGTCAAATGGGATTTCTATTTTTAGGTCCTTGAGGAATTGCCACACTGTCTTCCACAATGGTTGAATTAATTTACACTCCTACCAAGAGTGTAAAAGTGTTCCTGTTTCTCCACATCCTCTCCAGCATCTGTTGTTTCCAGATTTTTTAATGATCGCCATTCTAACTGGTGTGAGATGGTATCTCAATGTGGTTTTGATTTGCATTTCTCTGATGACCAGTGATGATGAGCATTTTTTCATATGTTTGTTGGCCTCCTGTATGTCTTCTTTTGTAAAGTATCTGTTCATATCCTTCGCCCATTTTTGAATGGGCTTGTTTGTTTTTTTCTTGTAGATCTGTTTTAGTTCTTTGTAAATTCTGGATATCAGCCCCTTGTAAGATGGATAGACTGCAAAAATTTTTTCCCATTCTGTTGGTTGCCGATTCACTCTACTGACTGTTTCTTTTGCCTGTGCAGAAGCTGTGGAGTTTGATTAGGTCCCATTTGTCTATTTTGGCTTTTGTTGCCATTGCTTTCGGTGTTTTGGTCATGAAGTCCTTGCCTACGCCTATGTCCTGAATAGTTTTGCCTAGATTTTCTTCTAGGGTTTTTATGGTGTTAGGTCTTATGTTTAAGTCTTTAATCCATCTGGAGTTAATTTTGGTGTAAGGTGTCAGTAAGGGGTCCTGTTTCTGCTTTCTGCACATGGCTAGCCAGTTTTCCCAACACCATTTATTAAACAGGGAATCCTTTCCCCATTGCTTGTTTTTGTCAGGCTTGTTGAAGATTGGATAGTTGTAGATATGTTGTATTTCCTCTGAGGCCTCTGTTCTGTTCTATTGGTCTATATCTCTGTTTTGGTACCAGTACCATGCTGTTTTGGTACCAGTACCATGCTGTTTTGATTACTGTAGGCTTGTAGTATAGTTTGAAGTCCGGTAGTGTGATGCCTCCTGCTTTGTTCTTTTTGCTTAGAATTTACTTGGCTATGCGGGCTCTCTTTTGGTCCCATATGAAGTTTAAGGTGTTTTTTTCCAGTTCTGTGAAGAAGGTCATTGGTAGCTTGATGGGAATAGCATTGAATTTGTAAATTACTTTGGGCAGTATGGCCATTTTCACGATGTTGATTCTTCCTAACCAGGAACATGGAATGTTTCTCCATCTGTTTGTGTCCTCTCTTATTTCGTTGAGCAGTGTCTTGCAGTTCTCCTTGAAGAGGTCCTTTAAGTTCCTTGTTAGTTGTATTCCTAGGTATTTTATTCTCTTTGTGGCAATTGTGAATGGCATTTCGTTCTTGATTTGGCTCTCCTTAAGTCTGTTACTGGTGTATAGGAATGCTCGTGTTTGTTTTTCAAGGATTTTTTTATGCATTTGTGAGGTAAAAAAGAAATGAAAATTAAGAAATGTAAAGGCAAGCCACGTAATGGGAAAAAAATGTTTGCAAAACACATAATTGATAAAGGGTTGGTATACAAAATAATACAAAGAACTCAAACTCAATAATAAGATAATACCACAATAAAAATAAAATGGACAAAAGATCTGAACAGATACCTAACCAAGGAAGATATATATGGCTAATAAACCTATGAAAGATACTTGACATCATTAGGGAATTGTGAATTAAAACAATGAGATACTATTATTGACCTATTAAAATGACAAAAATCAAAACATTGACAACATCAAATACTTGTGAGTTTGTGGAACAATAAAATGTCATATTCATTGCTGGTGGGAGTCCAAATGGTGCAACCACGTTGGAAGACACTAGCAGTTTTTGTTTTTTTTTTTTTATAAAATGAATATATTGTTATGATCCAGCAAACAAACTCTTTGGTATTTAGCCAAGTAAGTTGAAAACTTATATCCACACAAAAACCTGCACATAAAATTTTATAACCGTTTATTCATAATTATATAAAGTTGGAAGCAGCCAAGACATCTTCAATAGGTGAATGGATTAATAAACCAAACCATGTTGCATCCATGCAATGGAATGTTATTCAGTTCTTTAAAAAATGGTTTATTTTTCTAAAGACTTGGAAGAATCTTAAATTTAAGCTTTCTTTAAATGAAGAGAGACTTATGTCTTTTCTATTTTGGAAGTCCAAATGATGGATGCAATGTGGATATTATCCTACATCCCAGCACCAATAGAGCTTGATGAGTTTAATTTATAAAAGTTTATTTATAATCTGTCTATTCCATATCTGGCTTTATATTTGGAAGACTGCTTTACTTGTAGTTGAAGCTAATCTTTTTTAAGGTATTCATCAATCAATTCTTACATTATAGATTACTAGGCCCTTAGCCCAGAAATTCTGATACAGTAGATATCAGATGGGGCCCAATAATCTGCCTTCTAATTAATTCATTGACACTTAGAGTTTGAGAATTATAGTTTAAGGCCTTGGTTATGATATATAAAAAGCCAGTGTCTTGAAAGAGCACAATAGTATATCCAGATAAACTAAATCAGTATAATTCAAATGAGAATAAATGTGAAATTTCATTTTATACTGATTTAGTTTATCTGTACATGGAAGAAATAGATTCTTACAACACATTTCCATATAAACCACTTGAGTTCATACTTTCTCTTCTCATCTATAACCGACTACTTTTTATGAAAGCTGAAATTACTCTTAATAAGTGAAAATTCATATATACGAGAAATACTGTATAAAATTATATAAAAAGCATTGATCCAAATATTTTAGATAAATTTAAGTCATCAAAATTTAAAGCTATTAGAATTCTGCCACATAATTGCTTAATTGAATTGAATGTAAAGATTGTGATGATGAATTTTTTTCTTTAAGATACAAATATCGTTGGTAAAATTTGAAGGCCTCTATAGCACCTTAATTTCATCTGGCTGTAGTGTTCAGCCTCTTTCACAAAGATTGTCACTCTCCTGACTTGTTTAATATTCAGTGTATTTCTTTAACAGTATATTTTAACAAAAATTATCATACAAGTTATACAAGGTATGGTTTGGTTTGTTTGATGTTAGTTGTCTTGTCTAGAAGGGATGATTTTATCTCAGCTTCTTTACTGAATTCTTTATTCTATGAAAAAGGAAGTTTGTCTTCCTCTTGCTAATTAGTTCATTTATTGGTAAGGGAAGTGATAGTATTCTGATTAGCTCTTATTGAAAGTTAGATATTTAAGATATTTTGGGATAGAACATTCTTTAAGAATTAGTTCTTTTTAAATGGGAACTTTAGTAACAATTTTTACTTGCACTATCTCTTGGCAAAATTTTGTTTGTTTTTAGATACATTTTTGAAAGTGGAAAAAAAACCTTCAAAGCAGTATCTCTTCTTTCCTAGATGTTTCATGGAACAATCACAGAAGAGCTAACCAGTCATGAAGAATGGAGTCACTATAATGAAAACATAAGAGAAGATCAAAAAGATTTTGTTTTTGTGAAGTTCAATGGCCTTCATTTAAAGTCTATGGAAAATTTACAATCTTACATCTCTCTTAGAGTATGCATCTTCTCAAACAATTTTCTTACAGATATTCATCCACTTCAGAGTTGTATAAAATTAATCAAACTTGATCTCCATGGAAATCAGGTAAGCAATAGCCATTTCAGATATTTGCATATAAATGAAATTTCAGTTTTATAATAAGTGCTTATATTACCTATCCACAGTATTTCTTTAAGATGATCTTTTAAGTAAAATATGAAGAAAAATTTCACAATAAAAAATAGTAAGATGTATATAAATAGACATTTTAATGTAAATGGAAATATGTAAATAGTGTGTAATTTGATATGTTTCAATTCTTAAATCTATAGTCTGGATTAAGAGTGCTTTGTGACTCCTTCATTTTCCTTATGTAAGAAAAACATTTTAGAAAAGTTTAAAGAGCCAACTTATTATAAAGGAATTTTCATTTAACAAAAAAGTATGATTATGCATTTTACTACATTAATAATAATAAATTGAGTAGTCAACATGCAGTCAGCTTCACAACCTGCATGATATGCTTTGGCTGTGTCCTCACCCAAATTTCATCTTGAATTATAACTCTCATCATTTCCACATCATGGGAGGGACCTGGTGGGAAATAATTTAACCCATGCTGCTGTTCTTGTGATAGTGAGTGAGTTCTCACAAGATCTGATGGTTTTATAAGGGGCTTTTCCTGCTTTGCTTGGCACCTCTCTCTCCTGCTGCCATGTGAAGAAGGACGTGTTTGCTTCCCCTTCTGCCATGATTTTTTCTAGAATCTCCTAAGGTAAGAGGTTTGATTTGGGAAAACTCGCAGTGTTCATCCGGTGTCATGATCTTCGTGAACGTAGCATTGGGGCCCTTGCCAGCACTAGTGAATGGAGTGATGAAAAACTCATAGAAGTATTTCAGCTTTAGGTTGTCCACAATCAATACCTTTTCTTCCTGGTTGTCAATTTTGTATTTGCAACATTCTGAACCATCTGTGATTTTTAATTTTTTTTTTCAAGGAAAAAAATATTTTATTAAAAGTGTGGTGAATAAAAAAATAATAATAATAAATTATCTTAGATGCTCAGTGTAGTATGGTTTTCACTAGGCCAACATTGGATAATTATACTCTATTTGCTTATTAATTAGAAATTTGCTATTAGGGAAATTTTAGATTTGTAATGTCTTACCATTTTTTCTGCTGTTTGAAAAAAGTAATTTTGGAATTTAAAATATTTTTAATAATATTTCAGATAAAGAATCTACCAGATACCAAATTTTGGAGTGGATTGAAGAACCTAAAACTCCTCTATCTTCATGACAATGGGTTTGCAAGGTTAAAGAATATATGTGTATTATCTGCCTGTCCAAGCCTCGTTGCCCTCACTATGTTTGATTGTCCAGTAAGCCTTAAAAAAGGATATAGACATGTTCTTGTTAACAGTATATGGCCTCTCAAAGCACTGGATCATCATGTGATTTCTGATGAAGAAATAATTCAGAATTGGCATCTTCCTGAAAGATTCAAAGCATGTAACCATCGACTTTTCTTTAATTTCTGCCCAGCTTTGAGAAAGGTAATTGGCCTCTTATCTTTAGGGTGTCATTTTAATTAAATGTATAAAAGTGAAATTTTAACTTCTGTTTTTTTTTTTTTTTTTTTTTTTTTTTGAGACGGAGTCTTGCTCTGTCGCCAGGTTGGAGCACCGTGATGCAGTCTCGGCTCACTGCAACCTCCGCCTCCTGGGTTCAAGCAATTCTTCCGCCTCAGCCTCCTGAGTGTCTGGGACTACAAGGCGCTTGCCAAATGCCTGGCTAATTTTTGTATTTTTAGTAGAGACAGGGTTTCGCCATGTTGGCCAGGATGGTCTCGACCTCTTGACCTTGCGATCCACCTGCCTCGGCCTCCCAAGCTTCTGAGTTCTATACCTAAATTATATAAACTCTTTAATGTTTTTGCATTATTTATATAAAATAATATAAACCAGTGAATATATTTGTAATGGCTTCTGAAAATTTATAAAACTTGGTATGCCTGCTACAAAAATAGAATCCTAAAGTGATCAAATTGTAGAGAAACAAATTTTTGTTTTTTAAATTGAAAATATATCTTTACTTTATTCAAGATTTGGTATATGGAAGACTCCGCTGGAAAAGATTTGATATTTTTTTGAGAGCCTTAAAAGACAACTTAAATTATTATTCAAAGAGGCTAAAATATTTAATTCTTACGTAATTAATTTGGTGATTTGGCAAGATAAAACCATCATTTTCTGTTGATTTGTTAGATGTTAGAGGAAGAGATTATGAGAAGTTGATACCTAGTTAATGGTTACGGACTACTTAAGTGGATTTACAAAAATATAAGGAAACATTCTTTGTGACAGGAGTGAATGTTACAACAAATCATTTATGACTTCAAAAGAGAGGATTAAATTAAGTACAAGACATAGTAACAATGTAAGTTGCAGAAAAATGTTTATAATATGTTCTAAAGATAAGTGAAGTCACATATATGTGTGTAGAAAATTTGAGAAAGTATAGAACATCAGTTTGTACAGTGAGTACGTCTAGAAGAATGAACAGTGATTATACATGGAAAAGCTAAAAATTACAGATTTGGAAGAATATTACTGTAGATATATTTTTTAATTAGGAGTGTATTGGTGATTTTTTAATAGTTTTAAAAATTTAGGATTTTGGTAATAATTTTGAAGTCATAGTTTAAAATATAAACAAGATAGTATTTAAGTCTGATGTCTTAACCTGGGCCCTAAATAAAGCATTTTATTTAGGTATTTCAGTTCTGTAGTATGGTATAATCCAAAGTGGCAACATGCATGACCCTTTTAAGGATAATCAAAGTGACTGAGATTCATTTTAGGAAGTAACGGAAAGTTGGGCGATAGACATTGAGAAAGAACTTGGATGAGCTACTAAACAGCTTAGACTTAATGAATATAGTGAAGATTAATTGAAGTTATTTGAGTTGGAAAATCAGAGTAGGTCTGTCATAGTAAGTGCTCTGTGAATAAATGGTATTGACAAAGTTTTTAAAAGATGATCAACCTAACATTTTGCTAGCAGATTAATGGGAGATAGAAGCCAAGTAAGGGCAGGGGGATCAATTACTCTAAGTTCAAAATGATGTGATTAGGATTGATATAGGCAGATACTAGTAATAAAGAAGAAAGAACACAGTGTAGAAGATAGACATGTATTTAGTGAAAGCCAATGTAGTAGGTGCTTTATACATTTTATTTCTTCATTCTTTCACCAGTATATACTGAGTACCTAATACATGAAAGGGACTACTCTGGGACTTGGGGATTCAGTGGTAAATAATACTGACAAAGTTCTTGTCCTCATTAAGACCAAAGGCACAGAGAATAGACAAATCTGGAAACAAAACAACCATAAAATGTCTGCTAGTGTTAATTGCTAAAGAAAAGAAAGTAAGACATTAACACAGACTGAAAGGGGTAGAGATTTGGGCTACATTAGCTAGGGTGGATGGGGAAGGCCTTTTTGAAAAAATATTATTCCTCATTATTTCCTTGGATATGAAAAAGTGTTAGTCTTATTTTATAGGAGAAAAGGAAGCATAGTGAGGTTTAGAAACTTACCCAGTATTGGACAGAAAATGAATTATGAGCTGGGATTTCAACAAGTCTTTCTTCGTTTCACAGTCCTACAGTCAGCATTGCATCACAAATGACAGACAGTACAGAGATTTGAGTGTACTTTTCAAACTGATTAAGTGTGGGAATAGGAGAAGAATGAGTATATGAATATTATGAACTATTAATGAGTATAAAATATGAAAACAAAAATAATGAGCCTTATAAGAGTTTACACAATTATTTTATGTAATTGTTATTCTTTCTTAAGGAGAGCTTAGATGAATTAAATCCAAGCCTGGGTGAATTAAAGAAGCATATGCTCATTTGAAAAGAAACAAATCTATTAGTATAATTAACACTTGTGCCTTATAACACAATAATAATATCCAGAAGGATTTTGTTTAGGCTTAATTGTAACATAAAATGATTTCTAACCTTTATTTTTTGAGTCAGGAAAAAAGGGAAGAAGCATGGGTTCTTCTTTTCTATAGAAATCAAAGTGACTTTACAAATTTGAAGTGCTTAGTTATCTAAAATCATATCTTAGAATGATATATATATATATTTTTTATTGTTTTATATATGTAACTTTTTAAAGATCAGAGTGATCTGGGCAAGAGACCAGTGCTATCAGCCAGTATTGCATTTTATTTACATCTAACAGAAATCCATGTAAAGAAGATTTTATAATGAATATTCTGTTTATCTCCTTAATAAGAAGGAATTTTTCATGACTCAGTGAGAAGCAGGACTCTGATGTAAGCTGCAATGTGAACTTAATGGTTCTCTACTGATGAGAACTGCATCTGACCAGGACTGCTTGGACCTGGTCATCTAAATTCCCTCCTATATTCTTCCTCACTTTTCCAACACCCCTACCCCCATCACCCTGCCACCACTTACACACTTTTACGTAATTACACTCAACACCTTTAACCCCAAGCCACAGGTGGCATCATGAACACAAATGTAGTTAACAAAGAAACATATAGATTTGTGGAAATCACATCTATACTAGAAACTATAATATTCTTATAAAATATTACCTCTGGATAATTCTAGACATAGCGAAGACTTTTTATCAGATACAATGAAGGTGTGTCTGCTAGGGTCTAAATGTGGCCACTCCAAAATTTATATGCTAAAACCTAATCTCCAATATGATGATATTTGGAGATGGAGACTTTTGGAGGTGATTAGGTCATGAGGGTAGAACCCTCATAAATAGGATTCGTGTTCTTTATAAAGAAGGCACAGTTCCATCACGTGAGGACACAGTGGCGAGATACCATCTGTGAACCAGAAAATGGGCCTTAATCAAACACTAAAACTGTCAGTATCTTTATCTTGGACTTTCCAGCCTCCAGAGCTGATAGAAATTTCTGTTGTTTATAAGATACCCAGTATATATATTTTGTAATAGCTACTCAGCTAAACTAGGACAGTACTGAATCAAAAGAAGAAACTAAAGCAGCCTGACTTTAAGCTATTCTTCCTGAAACATATTATAAAATCACAGGAACTAGAGGAAATTCTACAAAACCCTCTATGTTTTCAGGGTGATGACAGAACAAGTGACAGGATCCATTACTACAGAATAGGTTTCATGGAGAGATTCAAGTACAGTCAAGGTTACAATAAATATCAAATGGTATATGGCAGGACTCATCTGAGATAGAGCAGTTAGGAGCTTCAGAAACGAGCTTAGACCACGTAACTGAAAGAGTTGATAAGCTAGATCAAAAATTCAATGAGAAAGCTGACCTTTGACAGAATGGCTTTACCAAACTGCAAATAAATATATGAAATTAGGAGAAATAATATAGACATTCAGGTAATATTTATGAATAGGAAGAAATTACAGTAGAGAAAATAAAAGCCAATAAAGAAGAAGCAATAATCAAGGAAATAATGGAAACAACATCATGAATCTGAATACTGGGCAAAATTCTGTAAGTGAAGCACATATATTTTCTTTAAAAATCTTTGAAGTGCAGTTCCCTAGTCACAGGAAAAAAAATGCAGAAGTATTTATATTTCTGATGAATTTTTTGAATGTAAGAAATCACTAGGCAAATAGAGGTGTTGGCATGAGTGTAGAGCCTGTGAGGCAGAGTGGAAAGCGTTCGCAAAGGCACAGAGGTATTGATAGAGCTTGGCATATGCAAGTGACAACAAGTAGTTTAGTGTTCTTGGAGTTTAGGGGACATGTTTCGGCACGTCAAATGATGCTAGAGACGAAAAGGGGATTAAAATAGCAAGGGTGTTGAATGTAATATGAGGGAGACAGGACTTTATCTTGCAAGATCTTGGGGAAACATTTCAAGATATTTATATGACCTAATTTTTATTCTAGAAAAATCATCCTGTATTCTGTAATTTTGGAGTGGAGGGAAATTGAATATCAGGGAATTAGACTCTATTATATAATTTGTGTATAGCATATAAGGAACAGATTTAAGAGCTATTTGATAGAATTTAGTGATTTATTGGATGGAAAGGGATGTGGGAGAAAGAGGAATATGAGTTTATTACTTGGTTGACAAATAATAGTTTTTATGACTATATAGATAATGCAATACGAGCGTGGATTGATTCAAATGAGGGAGATAATAACTTATGGTTTTGACATGAAAGTAAATAAATGGAATTGTAAGTTTATTCTATATGCCTGCAATTAAAGAAAGAATTTCTGACAGGAGGTTACAGCTATGTGGGTAATCTAGGTATGTGTGTCAGTCAGATACAGCAAGGAAGGTGATCACGTGAGAAGACTTAGCCAAGAAAAATGAAAAAGAATGAAAGTGTAAGTTAAATCAAATGTTTAAATGTTTGCAGAAGAAAGTGAACTAGCAAAACAGGTAAGAAAAGTTTAAAGGAGAGAAAAGGAGTGTGATATCTTTATAACCACGCAAAATAATTGAGTTACAATAATAAATTGATTGACATTGTTAAGTCAAACTTGGATGCAAAGGATGATTACTTAGTGATTTAATAGTCAATTGATAATCAAATGCCAGTTATAGAATAGTTAACTCGGTTAGTCCAGAGAAGCAGGACGAAGAGTTATTAAATTTGGTGAACTTATATGGAGAGGTAGATCAATCATTGCATTATATAGTGTAAGCTTGTGAGCTAAAAATATCAGGACTTAATAAACAGAGACCTTATTCAAAAAGCTGATTGCAAGTGAGGGAAAGGAATTATTGCAAATAGGCAGAGTGGGATTATTACAATATGGAGAATGCTATGATCATAAGATCTGCAAAAGTCTTAAGGGTTTGGCAAAAGAATTTCTCATTTATGAGGAGAAATATACAAGGCTAGAAATAACTGAATGTGAGAAAGTGGAAAGAAAAAAAAGTGGTATGGTCTGACCTTGAAACATAGACTTTTTTACCCTGAGACAAGCCTATTCTCAGGACGGGCTGTTAAATGGAGACTATGTGCTGCCTCAGGCTGATGGGCCAAAGTTCAGGAGCCCAGGGGAAGGAAATAATCTTAACTAAAGTTTGGCTAACAAATATTTTGTTCCAACTGATCAGTGGGAACAAAACTTTTCAGTTAATTGTTAAAGAGGGGAAGAATGGAAATTTGGAAGGTCTGTGTCAAGCCTTGTTGTAGATAAGTAATAAAGGCATCCAAAAGTATTAAGTCAGTCATGAAGAGCAGGGTGCTTCTTTTCACTAAGCTGTTTTCTGAAACAAAGGACTGAGGAGATTTCTTAACTTTCACTGTTTTCCAAGAACACAGGACTTGGGTAAAACTCAACATTGTCAAGTGTGACACATAAGATATTTCACAGGACACAGAATAATATTATATAAAGACATTGAACATAGATCAACATCAAGAAAGTGTTATTGGGGGAAGGAACTGAGTCTCCCAAAGACTAAAATTGTGAGACAAATAGTTGAGAAAAGCAGTTCAAGAAATAGAGGTGACATTTGTGAAAAGCATTTAATTTTGATTATCAGATAATTCTATGTAGGATGAATGGAGATGAGATTAAGGAGCTAGGATGGGACTAGGTCAAGAAGGACTTTGTGTGGCAAATCAAGAAATTTGTAATTTGTCTTTCAGTGGTATGCCAATGAATGAAATATATAAGCTAGGATGCTGTATGATAAGATTTGCATTTTGGAATGCTCAATCTAGCAATAATGCGTTTTATGGTTTGGAAGGAGTAGGGGAATAGGAATTATTAAGATATCAGAAGAATTTTAATAAATTAGGGAAGTGATAACAAAGACATGGAAAAAACAATGGCAGGAAATAGAAGAAAAAGAGAGGTAAGACTAATATTTGGAATGTTGACTGTACTGGATCTAGTAACATTTGCATGCAAAGAAGCATAAAAGAGAAGAGAACCTAGGATGGTTCCAGGGTTTCTGCTTTAGGCAACTGTAGAAAGTAGTACCATTTACTAAGGTAGAGCATATGAGAAAGCAGATTGAGAAAGAATATTCATATCTGGAAAAACTTGTATTTAGTTAGATATCAGTTTGACTATATTGTTATGTAACTTAGAAGAGAGGTCAGGCTTAAAGATAGAAATCCGAGAATCTCTAGCACAAAGGTGAATGCTGAAGCTCTGAACTTAGAAGTGGTCATTTGAAGGATGTGTAGAGATTAAAAAGAAACAGAAAATTCTTTCAATGTAACAATGAAGCAATAAACATGGTACATATAGTTTTGTTTGAAAGTGCAGAAGTAAACGAGATTTAGCGGAAAACCAGGAGGCGTGTAGTAGAGAATCTAAGGCAAGTATTTTAAGGAGGGAATGTCCAATGTTAACTCTAAAAAAGTGCCCTTGGATGATAGACATAGAAGCCAGTGGAAGGAGATATAGAAATAAAAGAATGTGGAGAAAAAAAATGTGGAATTCTGTCTCTAGATTTTGGGCTCTTAATGAAAGTTAGATATAAAGGATTGAGAGCTGGGATTTAAGGATAAGTAAAGTTATATCATATTTATATGTGAAAGGATAGTGCTAGCAGAAAATAGAGAGATATGAGACTCATAACAGTGATAGAGTGCCAATCTTGGACAGAAAGAGAGATACTTCTTGTTTTAAGTTTGAGTAGAAGGCACTTCTATTCAGTATAGATAGGAATATATTTAAATTTACAGAGAATGGAGGGAAGTTAATTGATGGAGTTTAGACTTGATGGCTCTAGTTTCTCTGAAAAAAGAAGCAGGGTGTTTAGGAAGCTCAAGGGAAAGTGCAAGAAGAGTATTGAATAGTGTCAAAGTTTTTCAGTAGCTAATGTTGGGAATGGAATCAAGCCAGAGCCATAGAAAGAAGTTGCTAATTTGCAATGAGTGTTTCAAAGTATAAATTGCAAGTAGCACTAATCTACAAGATCTTGTGAATTTTTTTTGTTTCCTGTATAATTTTTCATTAAGTATATATGCAGAAAAGGTGTATGTTTTAAGTGTAACTGGGATGGTAATCTTCAGAAGAGGTGCCTCATAAACAATGTAATTGTCAGTATTTTTAATGCATTATTTTACTTTCAAAACATAGTGACCTTATTTCTAACCAGTCAAGTTGTCAATGAAATATACTGAGCCTTTGATCTCAAATCAGAAAAGGAGATCTTTCTTAAAGGCAATATAGGATACTTTTTCCAAGATAATTTGCTGTGTTCCAATAAAAGTGTCCAACATTCTAGTTAAGCTACAACAAAATGTTTAACTACTCTGAATTATTTTATGAATCAAACTATATCAATTTTCTTTATGGGAACTTGCAGAGTATTTGCTGTTTCATTGGACACCTGTTCATGCCACTACCTTTTGGAGAGGTTAAAGTTTTATACATATATTATCAGATTTGGAAAAGAATATTTAATGTAAAAAGTTATTATCAATAATGTTACATTTTATGTAGATAATTCAGATTATTTGATGCTACTAATTCTTTTTCTTTTACTATAATAATAAAAATGTATTTATTATTTGTATTAATTAGTTTTCATTGCTATAAAGAAATACCTGTGGCTAGGTAATTTATAAAGAAAAGAGGTTTATTTTGGCTTACAGTTCTACAGGATGTGTAGGAAGTATGGTGCTGGCATTTGCTTCTGGTGAGGGCCTCAGGAAGTTTACAATCATGGTGGAAGGTGAATGGGAAGCAGGCAAGTCACATGGTGAGAGAGGGAGCAGGAGACAGAAGGGACTGGTCCCATACTCTTTTAAACAACCAGATCTAATGTGAACTAACTGAGCAAGAAGTCATTCATCACCAAAGGGATGACACTAAACCATTCAGGAGAGAACAGCCCCCGTGATCCAATAACTCCTGCTAGCTCCTATCTCTAACATTGGGGATTACATTTCACCATAAGATTTGGAGGGGACAAACATTCAACCATATCATAATTTAACGATAATGCCTAAAGAGGCTGTGAACATTTTATGAGTTTATTCATATCAGTAGATTACCAAGTATAAAATATCTTTTGAAAATACTTTTATGAAAGATAAAAATTATTAATTATATTTTCTTTATACAGGGAACAACCTATGAAGAGGAAATTAATAATATTAAATATATTACTTCAAAAATTAATGAAATTTTGGCTCATAATTCACCAGTTCTGATTATTCAAAGATGGATTCGTGGTTTTTTAGTTAGAAAAAATTTGAGGTATGTTTTGTTTTCTTTACCATTTGAATATTGAAATAATAAGGTGAAGAAATAAGTGATAAAAAGTCAATTTTCCAATAATAGGCATTTTTGTATTATCTTTCATCAAAATGACATAAGGGTATTTGACCTAACTAAGAAAAATACCAGAGACTCCATAGTAATATAAGATTTGGCATAATCAACATTTGATATTATATTTTTTCTATTCAATTTACATATAAATACAGATGCAAGGCATGGACTATATAATGGGATACAATGAAAATATAAAACATGGAACATATATGGAAGATTTTGTATTTTATTTAGATGTAGATACAATTTTGCTGAGACATCTGCTACCACATCAATCTATATTGTCCTTTATTTAGTTGTCTTTTCCTCTTTTCTTGTTTCTTGCATTCCTTTGCAGTAACTAAGTTTTGCAAATAAATTAAAACTTTTTGCTAGAATTTCTCAACATTTTACTTTTAGAGATAAGCTAGAATACTCTGTCTTCAACTTACAGAATTGGTCATACCAAACATCAACATTAGGAGAAATACTTAATGTAAATGATGGGAGGATGGATGCACCAAACCACCATGGCGTGTGTATCATTGTAATACTTTTTTTTGTACCTGCAGTCATGCAGCTGTAGAAAACATGGTTTGTCATTAATCACATCTTTGGGGGATTGGATGCACCTGAGTCTGTCTTATGCTTTCTATATTGGAAATTTAATTTTCTCATAAATGTCAGAACTGTTGCCTTGCTAAAAAAAATTCATATAGCTTATTCTAATTGCTAAAGTTCAGAAGACAGAAATGAAATTTGGTCCTGAAATATAGATAGGATTAACATAGATCTGGAATAAGATAATGAACATTTGTTGAAAAAGCAAGATTAGGAAGTTTCACTGAAATGAGATTTAACATTCTGTGGTAAGATAGACACAATACCCTCTAGCATTAGCCAATATATGCTAAATCATAGGTGACAATAGTCCTGACAGAGTCACAAGAATGAGGGCTAAGTAGCAAAACTGACCATAAATACAGTGCCTCCAACTTCTGAGGAAGTGGTTCCACATAATTTTCACACTGAGGTCAAAGTATGAGAGAACATAATCTCACAGTGGAGACAAGTCAAAAATAATCTGGGTAAAGGATATGCAAAAGAATCAATCAGGCAGTTGCTGAAAAGTGCATACTTATTTAAAATATTATTTCTGTCTCTATTTTGCATTTGAATATAGTGCATTCTTTATATTAAATACAAATCTAATTAAAGGGTCTTATTTTTAGTTTATTCTCCAGGGATTTTTGTCCTTTGGTAGAATGAACGTTATCACTGACACTCATGTAATATGTGATAAAAACTTTGTTCATAGGAACAATCTTGAAAACTCAGTATATATGAATACACTTTGAGAATTTTGCAGGAAGATATTTCAATAATAATATATGACAGGGTTCAAGACAGACTGATTTGCATTTTCTCGCTCTTTAAATCTCTGTTCCATTAAGCACATTACTTATCTATGTGGCACTTGAATTTCTTTATCCATAAAATTGTGAAGAACAGGGGATAATAACAGTACTTATTTCTGTTTGCTTGTAGGATTTGAGATGATCAATATAATGCTCTTAGCACCTAGGAAAAGTAGATATTATATTCTTATTACCTATTGTTTTAAAAATTTAATTATTATTGTTGTTGTTATATTTAGTGCTGTGTTGTTTGGCTCCATGGGAAACTTTCCTTGGATTTCTTGGTCCCTTCCAGAATGCACAGAGGAATCTTTCAAAAATATAAATTTAATCATTTTATTCACCAACTTAAAGTCCTCCAGTGGCTTTTAATTTTTTTCGGACAAATGTTTGAGATATTGCCTCTTTGGTGTGTTTCACATACTTTTGTTATTACAAGCTCTTACCATATGGTATTATAGTCATCTCTCGCTGTTTTCCATGCTGTATCTTTAATATATAACAGAGTGCCTGACACATTAGGTGCTCAAAAATATTTTCTGAATTGAATAATATATCAATAAATGGAGAGACGGTCAGAGCTGTAATCAGATCTGGATTCATTCATGGAAAAGTGAAAGAAAGAATTAGGAAATATGTAGAGCTCCCCTGAGAGGCAACTATGGATTCCCACAACCTAGGGTCTGAGTGATTAGTCCTCTTGTGTCTCTATTTCTAGCCATGAGAAATGTCTCTCCACACTCAAATATTTTGTACATTGAAATTTTAAACTTATGTCTCTCTACACCCAAATATTTTGTACTTTGGAATTTTTAACTTAAAGTGCTTGCAATACTATATATGTGGCCAAAATTTATAAAATTATTATGATTAATGCTATTGTCTTTTAGAGTAGTAGTATTTCTAGTATGGGTGATAGAATATAAGGTAAATATACTTTTATTCTTAGAATGAAATGTTGTAATTAGATTGACAGCCTCCTAATCCTAAGTAAAGGCAGCTATATTGAGGTCATAGGGAGAATTATCGGTTGCATTGATGGGTTTTAAAAAAGGAAAAAGAATGAAAAAGAATATAAGAAACAAACATTTATTGAATGTGTAATATATGTAAAGCACCATTTTAGATAAATTAATCCATTATGTTATTTAAGAAAACAGAGTTTTCAAGTCTGTATTTTCTGTTTTATAGATGAAATATTAAGAGTTTAAACTTGGTGAGGAGGCTAAGATATGAATCAATATCAGACAGCTATTTTGTATGGGGCATTTGTGGTCAGTTATTGAAAGATGAAATTGCATGTAAATAAATATCAAGTTCTGTTGTTTAATATATCAGAATTTCTATGTTCCTTTTACTTTTCTAACAATAGCCCTTAAGTCAGCTTTTCCAAATAGCTCTAGTCCTTTCAGTAAGGAATGGTGTTTGGAAACTAAGATCTTGAAACTACATGTTTTCTATTGGGATGTCATCATTCCTAGGCCATTTTAGCAGACAGAATATGGATTAGAAAATGGATTACTTTTTCCATCATAATTTCATGTTAACAACTCAAATGTTAATCCAACACAGAGGATTCTTCACTGCTTTCATTCAACATTATTCTCTCCTACCATGAGAATTTTGGTTGCCAACATTATTAATTTTACTCATTAGCTTAATCCTACAATATATACAAAATAGTTTCAGAATTGTTATTACATAATACTATCAAAAACATATTTAATAAAATTCAAGATTTGTTGCAGAATTTTAAAAATAATTATACTGGAGATATATATTTGAAGTACTTTGTTGAATAGTTACTTCATTTATTATAGTGATATTCTTGTTTCTACTGATTTTAATTTAAAAATATTTCTTATTTTAGTCTTTCACTTAGGACTTTTTTTGTTGTTTTCATTTATACTTATAATCTTCTGGTTTAGTCATCTCTAAAATGAGTAAATACTGATTTTTTTTTCTGATTTCTATTACTGCATTTCTAAATTTGTTTTTATATATCTTTTATAATTTTTTTGCTATCTTTTTGTTTATTTTGAAATAATAGGTTGTAATTTTTATTTTTTATAAGCTTCACTTTCCGGTCTGCTTTCATTATCTACAATCATGTTACTATGCTCTTTATTTTTTATTGTAATTCTGTAAGGGATTAGACAGTGATTTTTCTGCATTGCCATGTCTGTAAAATTGGTTTTTCTCAACTTTAAGAAGAAGCTTTTCTTCAGGATTTAAAACTACTCCTGTTGTGTTTGTGTAGTATCCACAAATATCAGGATTCTCTTTCTGATACCTCTGGCTCTGGTTCCTATCACCTCCTTGTTAATATGGATATTTTTTCTTTCTCTTTTCATCATTTTTCTCTGCTACTCAATTGGGATTCTATTCCCAGGAAATTCTCACTTTGGGACTTGACTTATAAGGGAGTTTTGACTGGTTAGTTTTGGGGGTTCAGAGGCCCAGAATGCTTCAGAACCTTTAAATCTTACCACTAAAGCCCATCCCCACCCCACCCTAGATTAGGTCCTGTTCTTCCTATTTATTTTGTTTCTGTCCATCAAATGCCTCATTACTTCTGTCTATTTCCTCCTGCATAATTGCTAACACCACAGTGTGCTTACAGTTGTCACTGATTTTTCCCTACTCAGTCACATTTGGGATTTCCCCAGGATACCTTGTCACATAGTACTGTTGTAGATATATATGTATACACACACACACACACACACACACACACACACACACACACATATACATATATATATATATATTTTTTTTTTGAGATGTGGTCTCCTTGTGTTGCTCAGGCTGGAGTGCAGTAGTGTGATCTCAGCTCACTGTAACCTCCGCCTCCTGCGTTCAAGCAATTCTTCCACCTCAGCCTCCTGAGTAGCTGGGACTACAGGCATGTGTCACCACACCTGGCTAATTTTTTGTAGTTTTAGAGGAGATGAGGTTTCATCATGTTGGCCAGGATGGTCTTGATCTCCTGAGTTCATGATCCACCCACTTCGGCCTCCTAAAGTGCTGGGATTATAGGCATGAGCCACCACGTCCAACCCTGTTGTAGATATTTTAAAAATTTTGCCTTCTAGTTGCTATGTATGTTTTTTATGAAGGAATCTGGTGAAATTAGAAAACTATGTCATTGCCACAAATATTATCCCACAGTGCCTTTAAAAAGTATTGTTTACATGTTAAAAGCATCATTCAATAAGTATTTCTGACAAACTAGGTATCTGTGACTTTCACATTTTAGGTGATATTTATTAAATAAATATTCATTTTTTAAAACATAGAGGATAAGGAGAAAGTAAATTTCCTATAATTATATCCTGAGAAGTATGATTAGGGAACTTGGATATTTAAGTATCAAAATAGTAAATTTAGGGCAATTCAAATAGTTGACTTCAAATTGTTGAATATTTTCTGTATGTAAAATAGATAAAAGAATCAGGTATAATGAGAGAAAGTTTTAGAAAGACAAATTTCAGCTCATTTTTTTCCAAGAAAAATTTTTAACTC